CAGGTGGTTGCTCCATATATACCTATTCTTCAAGATCACCATGTAAAAATGCATTTTTGATGTCAAGTTGATGAAGAGGCCAATGTCGAATGGCTGCAATGGTTAGAAGAAGTCTAACAGATGCCATCTTGGCTACAGGCGAGAAGGTATCACTATAATCCAACCCAAAAATCTGAGTGTATCCTTTAGCTACCAAGCGAGCTTGAAATCGATCAATCTTATCATCTAGACCAACTTTCACTGTATAAAGTCAACGACAACCTACTAAAGATTTCCTAGGGGATAGAGGAACCAGTTCCCAGGTACCACTGCTTTGAAGAGCACACATTTCATCAATCATTGCTTGCCTCCACTCAAGGGGAGATAATGCTTCACGTGGAGTTTTAGGAATAGAGACAAAAGACAAAGAAGACAAACAAATATACTGCAAAGGAGAAAGACGATGATAGCATAAATCAGTATAACGTGGAGAAGGATTTCGTATTTGACGTATATTTTTTCGAAGGGCAATCGGAAGATCGGACTCAGGTTGCAGGATCAGATCCGGTGATGGCGAGAGCTTCAGAGGAGAGTCTGCAATGACCTCAGGGACAGGTACGACCTTAGGGACAGGTACGACAGACGTTGGTTGACGACGCTGATATGTTTGAAGTGGACGAGAAATCGAGGGGTCAACTGTAGGGTTATCTATTGGGCCAGGTTCCCTAGAATGATGTGGGATAATGACATATGGGACTTCCGGAAGAGGTGTGGGAGTACTCTCCTGAAGGGGTTCCAGAGTTACTTGGCTGGACGCGAAATATGGAACAGACTCGAAGGTGACATCGGCCGACATGAGGTATCGTTGTAGAGTATGTGAATAATAACGATAACCTTTTTGAGATCGATGATAACCAAGAAAAACACATTTTAGTGATCGAGCTGATAATTTATCAAGACCATGAGAGAGATTGTGTACAAAACATGTAGACCCAAATACTCGGGGAGGAATTGGGTGAAGGGGGGAGTGGGGAAAAATGATTGAATGAGGAATTTTATTGTTAAGGACAGATGATGGCATGCGATTTATAAGGTAACACACCGTTAGCACATCGTCCCCCCAAAATCGAAGTGGAACATTACCATGGAGAAGTAGGGTCTGAGTGGTTTCTATGAGATGCCGATTTTTGCGTTCGGCTACTCCGTTTTGTTGAGGTGTATGAGGGCAAGATGATTGGTGGATAATACCATTACTGGACATAAAATTTTGAAATTGTTGGAATCAGTATTCATGAGCATTATCACTTAAGATACGAATAGACACACCAAACTGAGTTTTTATTTCTTTATAAAAATTTTCAAAAATAGAAAATAATTCCGATATATTTTTCATTAAAATTAACACGTGCAACGTGAAAAATCATTAATAAAGGTGACAAAATACCTAGACTCAAGGGTAGAGACAGTACGTGAGGGACCTCAAACATCAGAGTGAACTAAAGCAACAAGGGACGAAGCTTGTTTATTGACTCAATTGTGAAATTGACTACGAGTGTGTTTCCCTAACTAACACGACTCACTATAAATTAGATGCCTTTGATAAATTTGGCACCAACTTCTGTAGTTTTATAAGACTAGTATGACTTAACTGAGCATGTATAGTGAATGGAGAATCTTTGGCTGAGCATGTCTGAGATGACGTTGAGAGGTAATAAAGGCCTTGAGACACATTCGACGGCAATTGTCCGTCCCGAACTCCGATCCTGCAGGGTGACATTACTATTAGTGAAAGTGACAATACAATCAAGAGAACGAGTTAAACGACTGACTGGAAGTAAATTAAAGGGACAATTAGGTACATAAAGAACATAAGTAACAAAGAGAGAAGGTAGAATTTGAACAGTACCAATTCCTTCGGATCGGGTTTGAGAACCATTGGTAGTAGTTATAGTAGGTAAGAAACCAGAGGTAGAGAGGGAAGATAAAATATTTTTATTACCAATAACATGATCAGACGCACCATAATCAAGGACCCAAGGTCCAAGAGAAGATGATTGAGAGAGGCAAATAGATGAATTACCAGTATGTGTAACTGAAGCAGTAAAATCTGAGTTTTGATAATTCTGATACCACTTGAGGAAATCATCGTAGTTTGACGTAATGTTCTGAGGAGTAGCCATGAGTATCAGACCTGGAATAGTTGCAAGGTGGCGAGTGGGGCGGTGAACAAAATCGATGGGATTGACCGGATCCGAAGAGGCGCTTCTGCCGGTAGGGTTAATTTGTCGGAAAGTGGCCGGAAACAGTAGCGGCGACGGCGGATGCCGGCGGCAGTCCAGTGGTGACCGGAGAAATTCAAAAACTGATGCCAGAATGAATCACGGCAGTGTAGGGAAGGCAAACCAGAGTTATGACACGGTTAGTCAAAAAAATTTCACCGGAAGACAGTGGGTTAACCGGGTAAAACACAGTGAATGGTTATCTCTCAGTAGGCTCTGATATCATGTTAAAATACGAGACTAAGAGACATTTGAATAAACCGTGTGTTTGAATAGCACAACGCAAGATGTATTATATAGGAAAAAATATAAATCCTAGTATTAATTACATAGATATCCTATCCTATTCTAGAATACACTAAGGAATATTATAAGGAATATTCTCTTTATATACATGTACATATATATAATTATCAACAATTTTCATATCAAACATTATGCAGAATATTAATGGTATTGTGTGATTTTGAAGCTATTCATTTGATTCATAACAATTTGCTGGACATATCATTATATATGTTTATCTCATGATGTTCTGAATATGTTAGATTAGATGTTTGTTAGTAGTTGCTACGTGTTCTCTTGTCTAGAATATTGGAGACTATTGGGGTTGAAATAATGTAATATTTTTTTTGACTTGATAGTTGTTTGTATATTGATCTATCTAATGTCTATCTACGTGGCCAGTCACACACTTGCAATTTATGTAAATGTTAATCCTTAACATTTGACTACAGGATTGCAGAAGCATATGGAAGGACTGACAAATGATGTGGAGAGATCAAATGAAACGGTTTTTACTTCTCCCTGTTTCTTACTTACATATATTATATGCAAGTTGTGATGCATGTTCAGTTTTAAAACGCGTCATTGAATTTGGTTATGGATGAATTTGAGAAAATGGGGAAAATTAAACTACCTTAAAACCTTATAAGAATATTAGCACGCTGCTTATTTTCCTTAAATGTGATAAAAAAGATAATTGCATCCTTTGAACTACTTTTCGTTGGTGTTTGTTTCATGAGAATATCGTGTTTGGAATCTTGAATATTTAACACTATTTTGAGAACCCTACTTATGGATTTTTCGTGCAGGTTCTTATGTTTCAAGAGAAGCTAGAAGAGAAAGATCAGGAGATCCAAAGACTGAAAAATGAACTCCAACAAAATAACTTAACGGAGGATGGAAGATCTGATGAAACTTTAAATAAGAGTGAGGGCGATAAGATGCCGACCGAGGAGGCTGCAAATGAATTAATTTCGGTTTAGTTTTCTTCCCCAGGAAACAATTTTTATAATCTTCTACCTGTGGTTGTATATTATATTGATTGATCTTGATCGAAATCTTTTTGTAAAGGATTATATTGATCTTGATTTGTTCAATCTCTTTTTTCTAAGCAAACATGATGCAGTTGTGAAATTAATTTCTTAAGAAATGATTTTGATCCTGCTATGCTCCAATTGGAATATGAACCTCATGGCGGATGATGATGTTACATTTTGTCATTGTATTTAGTTTATTTACAATCCAAGGGAGATGAAAAAAGTTTGTTAAAATTAAAAAAGAAAAGACGCAGACACTATAAATAGTTGTCTCTTAAATGTTATTGTTCCCTTAAACCATGACACTATATGCGTGTTTGATTATGTTTTGCTGAAAATTCAGTTTGATTAGACTAATTTTAATTAAAGTCAGTTGAATTTAAATTGTTTTTATGCTTGACTATATTTAAATGTAATTCTAATTAATTGATGTTATTTGGATAATAATTAGAATCATAATTGATGTAGTCAATTTTTTTTAATTGTGGTCTTTAATAGGAAAAAGAGAAAATCTACCGTGTTAAATTTTATCAAATTAAATATTATGGGCCTGTTTATTTTAGTTTTTAATTTTTTTAAAATATTTTTGTTAAAAAAGTGTTTACAACTTTTTTATTTATAAAAACTTTAAAATTTTAAATAGTTTTTCAATAAAATAATATTTTAAATATTTTCAAATTAAATAGTTTTTCAACAAAACACAAACCCAAAAAATACCATCAATCTAAAGAAAAAGAGTCCTCATTTGGGAAGGAAAATGCCTCCAAGAAGATGGATGGGCAAAACAAATTTGAGGCAATGCTAAGAGAAATAAAGATAAACATAAGTGAGAGCTTTTCCCTCTAACAAAAGACATAGTAAATATAAAAATACAATCGGGACGCATCCATATATGAAAAGAAATGATATGTTTATACTGATTTTGACAACTACACCATATATTTATACGGTAGAAGTTTTTTTCTTTTATTTATTATTTTTATATAAATTGAAATTTGTAATTGAAAATGAAATTTTTAAAAGCTACGGTGTCATAATTTTGATGTAAATATAGCATTCTTCATATAGGATACGTACATATAGATACTTATTTTAAAAAAGATAGTATATTTGATTTGTAAACACCATATAGACTAATAACATGAAGATTTGATTTGTACTTTAGAAAACTTCAAATTGTTGTGTTGAGTGGAATCAATTTTCGAAACAAAAATATATTCTCTCTCAAAATCCCAGACACCTTTATAGAGGCATATGTACCACAAAACATAGGCTACATTGGTCTCTGGTGGATAGAGGTATGTTTCTCTGGGGCACGGCCGCATAGTTAGCCTTATCCCTTTGTTAATTGATTCCACTCTTAGAATTAGACATAATCTTTCTCTGTGGCACTGCCGCATAGTTAGCCTTGATCCTGTTGTTAATTTCGACGAGGCCATCCCAAGCCTGCACTACCAGTGTTTCCAACTGGTTGAATAGGTTCCACCATGCCCTTTGTTGAGTTGCCAAGCCCTTCTCCCTGAACAAGGATGAGAAAGCAGTAAGCTCGTTTTCAATGCCAATGGTATGGTTTTTAATAGGAAAAACTTCAACAATAAGTCTTCAAGAATTTCATTTCAATAAAGAAACATTTTCCACTTGAGAAGTTGGTCCGTACCTCCTTCCAGCCCATGCCTTCTAGAAGCTTCCTGGCATAACTTCCCGGCCCAAATGACATCTTCAAGGCCTCTTCTTTAGCTTCTTGTGGACTAGCATCAGGTGATGGTGGCGTATCATAACCGCCACAAATATTCTTCTGTCCTGGACCCACACCAAAGCCACCATGCAAGATTCTTCTTTCTGCCGCACGATCTCTGTATTGACTTTTTATTTGCTGGGGGATAATAAAACAGTAAATGAGTTGAAAGCTAACAGATTCGAAATAAGGGAGATATAAATTAAGAAACCCTTTTCTACTTGTTATATTGTTATCCTCCCCTTTGTGATCCCTTTAGCTTCCATAATCAACAAATCATGACAATTAGAAGACAGTTGTTACATATGTTTAACATCCATTTCTATTACTAGAACTATCATTTATCTCCGTTTCTCTGTAAGCAGCAAGTAATTGTCAGATTTCAATATTACACACCTTGGATGCAGAAAGTTGACTTGGCAATTCCTTCTCTGTAGAAATTTCATTTGAAGTGGATGGAGTACTTTCACCGGACTTAGAGACATGCACGCTATTTGTATTAGATGATAGCTGAGGAAAGTCCCAATCTTTTGTTGGATTGGAAGAATCATAACTTGATAATGAAGTCACATATCTTGCACTAGGATTTCGCAATCTATATACTTGCCCTGATAAAAGAGCAAGGCAAGAAGGCGTATCAGTCCAGGAAGTAATTCTAGTACTACTACAGAAAAATCTCAATACTGCTTCATTTTAAAACTTCCAATGCAAGCAATATCCCATGACATGGAGAAAGATATGCACTGTTAAGTATAAGAGCAAAATGCAAACCTGTTTTGACGCGTACCAGATCGAGATGCACTTCACAGATAGGAGCAGATTTAAATTTCTTTTCACTAGATGAGATAGATGGGTGTCGCTTTGCAGATCGTTTAACCAGTTTTCCAACCAACTTTGCCGTCCTATCCTTTCCATCTTTTTTGGAAGTTCTAATCATTTCCCAATCCCACAAGTCCACAACTGGAAACTCTAATACCAAATCTTTCCTTGATTCAATGACTTGACCATACTGAGCTCTCCATTTTTCTTCATCCAACAACATGCCTATCATGGTTTACGTCAAATATATGAACATAAGCAGTATACAATTTCACTCATGGTATAAAATCCATGCAGAGAAACAAAAAGCATTTAATAGGGAACTCAAGGCAAAGTTGATTACTGAATATACAAGGAAACAAGCTCTTGTAAGATACTTGAACCTTCAAGAAAACAGCTCATAGATATAGACTGAAATAGCACGTGCTAGTTAGTCGTAGAACAAGCTTTAAGATGATTATTTAGATATGTGAGCAAAGGGAAATAAATACCTTCATCTATGGTACTTGTATCAGCTATGTGATTTTCATCCTCTGGATCTGGGATCCACTCACCTTCTTCAAGTTCATACGTATCACTGTAAGCTACGACTTCATCTACAATTCTTTTATCATCAGCCATGCCGTTTTCATCCTCTAGGCCTGTGTTCCAGTCACCTTCCACTTCATAAGTGTTGCTGTAAGCTATACAATGAGAAACATATGCATTTAGAAGTAATCTCAGTTATCACTTTTTTATACAGAAAAGCAACGCAAGTTATGAACAAACCATTAGCTTCTAATGTGGAGTTATATCCATCGGTTTCCACGGGCACTGTCACTGTATCAGCTGCACTGAGTGCTATGTTGTTGTAGCCAGATAAGTAAAGATCAATAAGCGTATCCTCCAACCTGTTTGTTAGCAAAACGATTAATTCCCCGAAATTTTTTGAACTTACAATCCTCAAAAGAATAAAAATGTGGAAGGAGGATACCATTCCGATGGTGGTGGAGGGTTTCCACAAGTTGGACTGTTCGTAGAGTTCGGGGCATCTATCACAAAGACATCTACATACTGTAACATTGTTGACAGAACTATCCTTGATAACATGAACATTGACGTTTCATTAAAAATAAAACAATACAGTTCGCACATTAACATCACTTACCAACCGCTGCTTCCTCGGCCAAGGTCCCAGTCTGTTGGTTAGTTTCAAATTCGTTTCCGCGAAAGGAAGTGTAACAATCCTCATTGTTAATGTCATGTATTTGCTTAGGGCTTTCGGGTTTGGTTTCCATGCACACATAGGTTTCTTCACAATTATCCTAAGATACATGCAATTAAACTACAATCACCAATTTGAAATTACAACTATTCATCTAAAGGTAATGTAAAGGAATCATAAGGCTAAACCCACCTTATTGGAATCTAAAGGTACATAATTCCCATCCTCAAATTTGTAATAAACACCATCAGTGGTGTTATAGTACCAACCAGCACTAGGGTCATGATAAAATCCACTACTGCACAAAGTTATTAAACAAGAAACAAAAATTAGTATAAAAATTATTGTTGTATTCAAGATTCACATGTAATGCAAAAAAAATCATTGTTTGAAATGAAAGGAGGAAGGAACCTGGCGTGGAAGTAAAGCTGCGATTTTTCGTCCCAAACAAAGACAGAATCGCTATTTTCCGAATTTTGGGGTTCTGGGTCCATAGACTCTGTGATTCAGTTGCTGAATTGCTGAATTTCGCGTTCGATCTGAATCAACCAAAATAAGATAGACAGTTTCTTTGGAAGTAGAAGCTTCCTTTGTTTGGTTTCAATCGAAAGGAAGAAGAAAATAATAAAGGGTTTAATGAGAATGTTCACATCTAAAATAATTCAAATAAAAATTGCAAACTCGTTCAATAAAATTGAATACAACACAAAGCTGAATAATGTTATGTAATGTTTTTGGGTCTCTTTTTGTTAAAATTCCTCATATATGTTTTAGATTCATGATTTAATAATGGGTTAAATAAAGCTTAAATGTATATATGAAATTATGAGCTTATGCACCTCAATCAAAAAAACATCATGAATCATCTATACACACTATAAGTTTAGAACATTTCCAATAGTAAGATTCAAGTTGTTATTTGATGTGCTCACCTTGATATCACATGATGACACATTGTGGTATCTTATCTCAAGACCATCTTTCAAAACAAACACACATATTATTTATTAATATAGAAGCATTGACGTGATTGTATAATTTCGAACTTACATAAATCATATTAAAATTAAATAGGTTTTACAATAGTCACTTACACTAACAAACTCACATGTATTCATCAGATTTTTGAGATTACTTAAGTAAATATGACAATTTTGTGGAGCATATTAGAGTCTAATGACTTTTTAAATATGAGTTTAATTTTCAAAATTCAAAAGACTTTGATACTACATATCTAACTTTAAAGCAATAAAAATAAGAGTCTTTTTTTTATAAATCTAGCATTTCCTCCATTTCTAGTTAATACGGGACTTAACCACTCACATTTAAATATTAACAACCTTCTTTACAAGTGTGAGTCACCCACATCACTAGTCTTAATTCATACAAGAATCACAGTTCTGCTTCTCTACCGACCTAACCATGACCCTGATACCACTTGTTAAAGAGTCCGATGAGGCCAAAAGTGTCCATGGACTAAATATTCAAGATCCAAGTGACCATGACACCAAATATCCATAAAAAAACAAAAGGGGGTTGATTATGATGTGATTTTCTCTCTACTCGTCATACACTGTTCTATCAAGGCAATGTTAGTCTTGGTAGCTAGCCGAGACATGCATTTGGAGCAAATGGATATGAAGACAACATTTCTTCACAGTAATGATTAGAAAATTTACATGGAGTTGTTTGAGAGGCTTAGTGTCTCTTAACATAAAAGACTAGTTTTTAAATTAAAGAGGTCTTTGTATGGTTTAAAGTAGTCTCCAAGATAATAGTAGAAGCACTTTGATTTGTACATGCTTAAGATTGATTGCAAAAGGCGTGAGTATGACTGTTGTGTTTGTGTTATGGGCCTTGATGATTGCTCTTTTATTTTCCTGTCATTGTATGTTTATAATATGTTGATTGTTATTAATCATTTACATGATGTAAATGAATTATATATCATGTTGGAAAAAAAGTTGACATGAAAGGCTCAAGTGTTGTTAATAACTTTCTTGGTATAGAAATTCACAAGGATAAGAATGCTAGAAAAGTATGGCTCTCTCAGAAAATCTATGTTAAAAATGTGTAAGACAAGTTTGACATGAGTAATTTGAAGGTTGTGAGTACTCCATTAACAAATCACTTTAAGACCTCATTGGATCAATATCCAAAGATTGATGCAAAAGTTGAGTATATATCAAAGGTTTGTTACGTTAGTGTTGTTGGTTGTTTAAAGTATGTTATGGTCTACATTGGACCAAATTTGACACACATTATAAGTTAAGTTTGTAAGTTTATATCAAAATAAGGAAACGTCATTGGGAAGCAGTCAAGTAGATTTTTCAGGTACTTGAAGGGTACTATGTGTTATAGTATCATGTTTAATAGTGAACAAGGCGATCCTTCAGTGGTAAGATATGTTGATTCAGACTATATTGATAACATGGATGGTACTGTGGACCTTGTTTTACAAATGATATATTTTTAACAAGGACATCAACTTTTGATGATGACAACTAATGTCTTATGACAAGTCAAGAATAAACAATTAAGCGGATAAAGATATACAAACCTAAGTATTAGGTTTTGATGGACTTGATAAAGATACAAACCTAAGTATTAGGTTTTGATGGACTTGACTATCCGATTATGATAATCAAATAGAATATAACTAAAGCCTCATCTTAAACTACTCAAGCAAGTGTCTACAAAAGAGAAAGCATATGGAAAAGTTTTGAAGTGCTAAGGATCCTCCTAAATTAGTAGTGAGCGAACCAATTGTAAAGCATAAGGGTTTTATCGTAAAAGCATGTGGCTAAAACACGCACACTAAAATATATTTTCAAACTATTTTTACCAAAGAAAATATCTTCAAAAACATCTTGAAGTTGTGACACAAGAATTAGGAGCTGCCAAAATAGCTATAGGCAAAATTTTGACTTATCTAATCAACTAGAACTTTTGCCTAATCGATTAGCTCAGTTGAAAATTGAGTCTCAAACGATTAAGACAACACCTTAATGATGTACAATGACTAGATATTTTTTTATTCCCTTTTTATACTTACAATCGATTATATTTCAAACTTCTAATAGATTGTAAACATGTACCAATCGATTAGGTTGTCATAAAATGAATTTATTTGAAATTCCTTTTCGAGTCAACCTCTAACCTATAAATAGAGGTCCCTTCCCCCGTTTCATTTCAACCAGAATCATGTTTTGACACAACTCTCTCTCTCTCTCTCTCTATATATATATATATATATATATATATATATATATATATATATATATATATATATATATATATATATATATATATATATATATATATATATATATAAAATAGCTGAAATGCTTATGCGAGAAAGTCCTTTTGTGAGTGAGAATAACTTGTAATTCTAAAAGGGTAGAATTGTAAAATTCACCAAGGATTTCTTTTTATACATTGGTTGAAGATTCTCCATTTAGGGAACTTTGTTTGGTTTAGAAGTTAAACCCGTAAAAGCTTTGGTTTGGATATTGTATGATCAAACCCTAGTTTAGGTTCGAGATTAACCAGTATTAAAATCTTTTAAGGTTCTTAGTCATCCCAGTATAAAACCAAGACCAGGTTAAAGTGTAGCTCGTGGTAAACGCTTGGATAAGGTTCAAGATTAATCTGGTATTAAAATCTCAAAGGTTATTAGTCAGCCCGTACAAAACCAAGGTTTAAGGTTTGTAAGCTCAACCCATGATAAAAGCTTGCAAAGTTTAATAAGCTTGAAGATTAACCGCTCCAAGGTTCTTGTTTATGGAAAGAAAACTAATCACTTCGATCTTAAAATCATAAGAGAAGATTCAAACTGCCATATTCTGAAGTCTTTGTATTAGTTGGAGGTCAACCATATTTCTTTGTATAAGGGGGTACATGATTACATCCTATTAAAAGCTCTCAAATTTATTGGAAACTCTCAAGACCGGTTCTTGGAGAGAGGAGTATGTTCTTTTGCTTTTGACTGAAGCTCTATAATTTCTAGCATTATTCTTTCCCCCAAACTCTTTACTTTTTTTCCATTTGTTTTCTGCAAATTATATTTTATGGTTCTAATTATTTAAATTGTTTTTAAACTCAGTTTACTCCGCAAAGTTTTTCAAAATCACTTTTTTCTAAACCATAAAACTCACCCCCTTTTGTGTGTGAAGTCTCAACTCCAACAAGTGGCATCACAATATAAGTCATATTTAAGGACTAATTGTCTTAGGAGGAAGATGACTTCTAACAAGCGATCTTTTCTAAATTCACGTCCATTTTTTAATGATAGAAAATTTCATATTTGACAAGCTAGATTTAAAATATTTCTTCATAGTTTAAATCGTGAATTGTTGGAAACAATAGTCAATGGTCTGGTTTACCCTACCCATCAAATAAATGATGAAGTAGTAGATAAATCCTATTCCCTTTGGACCAAAGAGGAAAATAGAAAGGTAGAGGTAAATCTTAAAATAGAGAACTTTACAATAATGTCTCTAGTCGATAGTAAACCTTATGATGTTCTTCGCTATAAAACCACCGAGGAAATATGGGATGCGCTTGAAAAAATATATGGAGTCTCTCCAAGTATAGAATAAGTGAATACAAGCATACGAGGCGAAGAAGATGAAGATACCAATCATGGATGTTTTTCTAAATTTAGAAATATTATAAACTTTGTTGGAAATTGTATTACTAACAAATATCTGAGAATTATAATTACAAATTCAATCTAATTCTTAAATCAAAAGATTGTGTAAGAATAAAATTGGTTCTACATATGATCTTATGTTTTGATGATAATTTTATATGTTATCTTTAAGAACAATTGTGTACTCTAACAAGTTTCTGTCTAGTGTGTGGATTTTGCTATATAGATTCTGACTCTGATAAGAAGGCGTGTGACGTCAACAGGTTCTGAACTCAACACTCTGGAAGAATACCTTTGGTGTGTTACAAGTTAAGTCAAGACTAAGGAGTGCATCTTATGAAACGGTTCTAAAGAACGTTAGTAAAATATCTTCTGATCGTGACTTATTCAAGGAAGCTTTGGAGGCCTTCTAAAGATTTACTTATGATGTTCCAAGTTTTGAAGATGCTGAAGAGAAGGTTCTGCTGAAAGAGTTCTGAAGATCTGAAGACATTCTTTTGAAGATCAAAAGTGCTGAATATTGAGAAGGCAAGAGTTATCTGAATAAGCCTTGAAATGTTCTAGTGACTTAGGTTCTGGAAGATACTAGTTCTGATCCTTCTACAACATGTTTCATCAACAAACATATCAGAAGCCTCTGAAGAGTTAGAAGACGAAGATCAAGACTAAGGGATTGTGTGTGATGATGAGTATAAAAGTACAAAAGTACATTGTGACCTCTACTCTCTAGAGTAGCGCAAGGACAAACCTTTTTGTACTATTGTCTACCAGTCTCACCATGACTGTTCAAAACAATAGAACTATATTTGTATTTCCTATTCTACCCTCCAACAGATCTCT